ACGAAGCACATCAACAACAATAAACAACCATTGTCAAATTATATATATGACACTGGATAAAGCCCGGTGAAGAAGAATGTGTCTTTACTCTGGATTAAAAGACAGAGATGGATGGAGCATGTCTGAGTTCTTACAACAACTGGATTCAAAAACGTAGAGTAGTTACAAAAGCTTTTAGTTTTAGTCATGAACTTGCAGAGATTTGATGTCAAATTCGAAGAGATCGAGGAAATGAGAGCCAATGAACATGATCTGTGGTACGGTTTGACCATATCGTGCCTTAAAAACCACACAACATACTTGCAGCGGCATTTTGAACAATTTGCAAGAAAGTTAATGAAGACTTCTGAGCCTCAGATATAGGGAAAGAGAATAGTAATGATGTTATTAAGGCATGGATCACTTTCTCCATATCATCGGAAGACAGAATGGGTTGCTTCTTAACTTATGGTGATTAACTAGAACTGATTTGTTTGTAGACAGAACTCTGTCAACAAACACAACACCCAGATTTCTTGTGTGAAATGAGGTATTTGGGGTGGCCCTACTCAGCTTCTAGACTTCGATGTCCCAAAATTAATTACTTTCATTTAAGCTGAAAAGTCCTAAACACAGTTCAAGAGAGGCGGTAGGTACAACTCATATATCTGTAGGTACCTAAAGCACCTTGTTAGGAAATATTATGGATCTTGGTAAATAATAAAACTTCAACACTGACTTGAAGCAAAGGAGAAGGTATTTTTCAATAGTTAGGCAGACCACGTCCCTACAGCATCTGAGGTGTGAGAACATTGCACCTTTTTGCCTGAAAAAAACATCATCAGTGAATATATACTTTATTTAACTGGCAATTATTTATCAAATACACAGCCCAAAAATGTATGGAACAATTGACTTTGTACACTGTGAGAATCTCTAGAATAACCTCCGTCAAACATGTTCTACCTCACCCCTCCACCAACACCACATCCTCCCACTTGATTACCTCAAATTACCACATTCCTTTCTCCTTTACCTGCTCTTTGCAGTTTGAATGTGAAGTAAAAGGAAGAGACATCTTTTAGACTGAGGCACATACTCACTGACTCACAGAAATGACCTGAGAGGAGGAGAGGACACAGAACTCACTGTTAGAGGGGGTTCAACAGTGCAAAGCTGCAGTAGACTAAAATATTGTACTAGGGACTTCATTGGTTTGGCGAGACACATGGTTGTGTTGCAGTAAAAACAATACAGTAATAAATAACAATAACATTATAATTTTACTAAGAACAATGTTGTAATTAAAAAAACAACAACTAAGACTTTTTATTGTAATATTATTTCAATATTCTTGTAAAATCCAAACTTTTACTATTTTTACTATTATTACTTTTTTCTTGTTACTTTTTTTTTTACAAATGTATTCTTGAAATCTTAAGTGTCTTTTCCCTATAAGTTTCCTTAATACTCTTTTGTACAGAACAAAGATGCGCATTGTATAGTAATAAAGTGAAGAAAGTTGTACTCTGACACCAACTCAGAGATATATTGACCTAATTAGTTTGTCTCTGTTGGGCTCTTTTTCTCACTTATAACACCCACACTACTTAATAAAAACATCAACGGTCTTCAAGTGTCTCCAGCGCTGTCAGCATCGCCCCAGGACAGAGAGGGAGAGAGAGAAACATCTTCCCCTCAGGAAACAGGATGTCCTGACTCAGACTGATGCCCTCAGATGATTCAAACCCCCAGATAAAATAACATTTTTCCAAAACACAATATGGGGCAATCGGAAGCTCAAAGGCCACCCAAAGCCGTTTCATCCTCCTGTTATTTGCGTATTTATATATTTTAGGAGGCAAAACTGGTTCCAAGTTACTTTGTTGGTTTCCTGCAAAATCATTAATTGGATGTTTTTTAGTTTGGTCCATGTCCTGGCAATTAACACGGATGATGCAGAATTATTAAGATGTACTTCAGCCAGCCACTAGGCGGCAGTCGATATTCTCTGGCTTCACTTTTGGGGAGCCGTCAATCTTTATATACAGTCTATGGTTTGAGATCATAAATGCACCAACTGTAATGGAAGTTCAGGTAAATCAGATGCTTATGAGCAGCATCATGAGGAGGTGTCTGAGCTGACCCAGGATCAGCAACAGGTCCCCCTGGCCTCCAAGGCCATACGATCCCCGGGACCACAGCGGAATAAGATCAACCCTTTCATTTTCGTCCTGGTTCTGCTCAGTGTGGTGCAGATGCCTGGATCCTTACGCCCCTGTGGAGATCTGAATGTGGCCCACAGCGAGCAGACCCTAATCCACAGTGGCGGGGACCTCTCCCTGTCTGTTGTCTTTACAGATTTGCCCTTTGCTCATGTTTTCAGGGTTTGAGAGGAAACGTTTTCGATTACTGGGAAAAGAACATGAATGGTAGCTTTGTTGGGTGGGTCTCTGTGTTGATTTGCTCAGGTCTCCCCACTAACGACCACTGCATACCCTGAAATCTTACAACCACTACAACTACCCCTCTCTTGCAATCTTTTTCTTCATTTATTCTCTTTGATAAATGTAAAAATAATGTTTCTGTCTCCTTCTTTCCACCCATATGTGTTTCTGCCTCCTTATTATAATTTTTTTGATCACAGGAAGTAAAAAGTTCAGGGCAGGCTGGTGGAGCTTTGATCCAGATGGGGCCGGGTGAGCGCATAAGTAAGACCCAAGAGCCAGGGCTCAACAAAGGATGCTCAGTCCTCCAGGCCTCTCCACCTTTATTTGATGAAGAAAAGGAAAAGGTCTCTGTTTCCTCATGTGTCAACTTCAGCACATTCTTTACAAAACTCCCACATGATTTTACACATCTGTTGCTTCGCAGTGTTACAGGGATCAAATATAAATGCAGAATACAAACACAATGCCCCCAAACGATCCCAAATAATAAAATTCTTATCTTACAGGAAAACACATGAAATCTTACTGGGCACTAATCAGCTACAACAATTCAGATTTCAAGAAAAAAAAATCAAGTTGCAGATAAAAAAATATAGACAGGACTCTTTATTTTTTGATCGCCCTTGTGGGTCCTGGATGAGCGGGTCATGACACAGGGTCAAATCAATATTTTTAAAATATTTAATAAGGTTGAAAATGATGACTGACCATCTCAGCATACAAACACATATTAAAATGCACAATATGTGTTAGTTTGTCTCTCAGTACAATCTGACTTCCCTGGACCTGATCTGTCACACCACAACCCAAGGGCCTGTCAATCAGTGTAAAGACATGAATCTTTAAAGGTCTGTGAAAGAATCTGTAAAGGAATAAGCTTAGACTTAAAACTCAGGTAATATCGTTGACAAGATCAATTCACAGCTTGTTTGGCAATAATACATTATAATAACACAATTATAATAAATATCTCCAACTCTACACTTTAAAATGACATATGTTGAACCAATTTTAAATGTGCAAGTGCCTGAGAGGCCATAGATTTCATGCCAAAAGGCCACAAGAGAAAAAAATCAAACAACAGCAGTCACACAAATTTTTCAACACCATATACACCTAAGTGGCTTTGTACCCACATCGGTGGTCAGAGAGGTCACGTAGGCCGACCTCTGTTTGTGGGGGGGCAGCGGTATCCAGGGATATTGCTTGAAGAAGCACGGCGGATGTGGCGAGAGGTTAGAGGGAGACAAACAGAGCCGAGGGTCAGTTTGTTTGGGATTCTTTAGGAGGAGATAGCAATTCACAAAGCCGTTCTAATGGGAACCAGCTGACCGCTAATAAAGCTATAGCCAGGCCGGGGCTATTTGCTTTTGTTGTGGACTTTTGGAGGGGGGGCTTCTGTTTATTGTGCTTTATTCTCCCAAGCCCCTCAAAAGAAGGCAAGAGAAATTTATACTGAGTTGAGTTTACTCTGAGTCCACTGGATTTTATCGCACGACTCTCTCGAGTTTTCCCAGAGTAAGAAATTTGCTGATGCACCATAAAGTAAAAGTAGAAAAATCCTCTTGATTTGCTGACATTGTTCTACACATTGAGATCTGATTTTCTTTAGAATAACGCTACTTTTGTACAGAAACATCTGGGTCAACACAATAACAGTAGAGATACAGTATTTCACTTGATTAGCATAAAATGACCTCCTGTTGGCACTAAATGAAAAGTCATTGGATCAGAAAAGACAGCAGAGTTGATCCTCTGAACATCTGTACAAAATGTTGTGACAATCCATCCAACCATTGATGAGATATAAGGTTTGGTCCAAAATGGTGGGCCAACATCCACAGAGCCAGCATGGCAGCTGTGCTACAAACAAACAGAAAAGTGAAAGAACTTATAGTCCTCCTAAATTCTGCTGCTTTCATCACAAGAAATGTGAACTGGGGATTTGTGGACAGACTTGTGTTTTAATATTGGGTACGAGACAATCACAATGACATTTGTTCCCTGTAGACTGCTCTGCTCCCCTTTCTGGATGTGAGTTATGGGAAATGTCTGGTTTCCTGGGTAAGAACTTTTTCTGCTGCACATCCAAAATCAACACAGAGATCGTGCTCAGTTTATGCAGAGAGGCAACAGATAAAAGGAGAATTTGCTCTCAAGCTCCATGTCATTTATTTTTGCTCCAAAGAGAAACAAGAGCGTTTTGTTTTGTCTGAGCCTCTGCTGCGCTGTAGAGCGTGTCAGTATTCTTCTCAGAAGATGCTTGATTAGTTTTTGGAAATGATCCAAGATGCTGTAGGTGTTGAAATAGATGGGTTTTCTCCTAACAACACTTTCCATATTCAAGTCTGCAAAGGGTTCTAATGACCGTAAACAGCACAACAGCTTTGATTTTTCAAAATTTAAACATTTTGATGAATCAAAGACAAAATACTAACGGAAAGTGACGGTCAGTGACTAGTTGACAGGGTCACACATTCCTCATAAATTACTCACAAAATATTGTATATCTTTGTAAATCCTTTTTTATTTTATGACTAGCATTAAATCTAAACAGACAGAAAACTTATAGACCTTTGCTGATTGCAAAAATGTACAATTCACTGTTGCTCCATTTTTCTTTTAGAGAGCTGATGTACACTGTCTCCACAGCTCCATCTGTCACAAGAGAAAATGAGAGAAACTGATAACAAAACACAACATAGTATAGGCGGCAATATTGTTGCTTCACTAGTCTTGGTGTTTGGAGATTTATTACATGTGAGAAGAGAAGTGTTTTTGTTTTTTCCCTCAATCCATTTGTTTGTGTAAATGTTCATTTCCCTCGACTGATTACAAGTGCATACAGTTCTATAAAGATTCATTTGCTCTGTAGTTTTTTTAAATGGCTTTTACTCTGTTGAAACAAAGTAAAGTTGGTCAATTCAATTCAATTTTACATATGGCACCAAATTACAACATACATTTATCTCAAAGAAGTTTACATGTGATAGAGAAACAGTTTCCACAATGAGCAAGTTCTTGGCATCAAACAGGAAACAGACATACAGAAACAATGGTGTCAAGCTCTGGCTTTCCTTTATATCACATATGTTACTCATACTCGAATGAAAGTTATACCCCTTAATGATCAATGAAAGAATAGAGCAGGTCATAAAACACTGCATCATGAAAGGATGAAGGACAAGAGACAAGAAAACTGGGTACAGGTATAGCCATCATGTGCAAAGACACACCAAGAGAAGGACAGCATACTAACAGGATTAACGGGGAGACTTAGGTGAGGACAGTTGAAAACTTGAAACAGTTCAACAGAGGACAAGTGACCAGATCATTGGATAGTGTTATTAAAATACATAGTACTGTGTAAAATGTTATAGTAAAGGATTAGTCGCTACCGTGCTGGACGTGGCCTGTGAGAGTTTGCACATGGGATGAATACTCACTGACTGCCAAGAATCTTGATCACATCCATGTCATTCTCAAACAATCTACAGATGGGCCATAAAACATTGGCCTCCAATCAGACAAGAGTTTGACGGGTAGACTGAATGAGTCCTGGAACTTGTTTTTGATTTAACTTTTCATAAATCTGTCAATGCATGCTTCAAATTACTGCCAGTCTGTGGTTATTTGGCAGGCTGATAATTAATCTGATGAGCCAAGAACTATGGGAGAAAAAACTAAAACAAGGGTTGGAATCAAATGAGAAAATCATTTAATCATCTTAGCAAATGTGTAGAGAGATTTGTTGATGAACGTTGCACATTTGTGTTGTTGTGACAACACAAAGAGTCAGTCACATTCACAGAATAGTTTACAGGCGGGATCTCTGCTTTGACAGTTTCTTTGGTATCACAGTTAGGCTGCTCAGCACAGGAAAATAAAAATATAGCTTGACATACTTTGGACTGATTTATGTTGCAGGTATCATAAATAGAACCCATGAGAAACGTTGACCCCTTACTTTTTATCATACCTGAGTTCTTAGTTGTACAACTCTCCCTCCTCTGTCATTCCTCGACATTACACCTGGAGATCTTGTGCAGAATCTATTCTTCCTCTTTCGTTCCAGTGTAAGTCGGACTTGGAAAAAAGTGGGTGTTTCAGATAGGCTTGTAAACTGGTAAATCAGCTAATTCTAGTGCGTCAGACTCTTGGATAAATCAGGACCTTGTCTGGCCCAGTATTGACACAAGCCTGTTCTCCACTGCCTGAAAAGCTCTCACTGTCTGTATGAGGTGAGCACTTCACAATCTAGACTTTTACCAACCTGCCCACTGCAGAGTTCCACCTCAGTGACCAAAGGATATACCACAAGCTGGACGTATAGAGGACTCTCTGTGGAGAGTGGCAGGAAAATGTGCACAAGGTTGAAATACTCTTTTCATAAAGACGCATGTATATGAAACATTGGATAAGAAAGATCCATTTGGCTGAGGAATGTTTGAGCTGAGTAGGAAGATTAAACTTTCAAAAGTACAAGTCAGGATGTCTCTGTAAAATCAGGGTGTACTTAGACTTGAGAGAACTTTTAAATATAAAGAAATATAAAAAATGCAAATGTAAAAAAATAGAAGCTGTGTTGGGATACAAGGTTGTATGAAGTTGATCTACCAATGAGGTGACCAGAACATCTTGTTCAGTGATTCTCTTCAAGCCTTTCTCTGAGAAATTGCATCATAATAATAATAATACAATGATATTGTAACAGCATATGTTTTGTAGGAAACATCATTGGATGGATGATGGTTAAAGGAAACATATCTTCTGAATGAATCAAGCATTAACTTTATTGATGATAGTAGAGAGGTGTTTGGGAGGAAGGATGGGCGTCCTGTGTACGTGACTGTCAGACCAAAAATGGGGTTCATATTCACAGTCACCATTCATGACAACATGATCTCTCCCTAACCATAACCAAGTGATATGTGTGTTTTAACATGACCATCACCAAATCTGGGGTCACTGCAAGATTTTATATTTTGGTCGAAAACTGTTATTAACTTTCTATTCATAGAAAATGTAATCTGACTGCGATTATGTTTTCTACAATTGGCCTTTGTAGTTTAGTTGTATTAAAACTTATTATTAGGTTCTTAAACATTTTATTCACACAGGCTCCCTTTAAGTGTCATTATCAAACCCCACAAACACTTCACTCACCCTCCATCTGTATAGTGGTGAGTAGATAATGAGTACATTTTAATTTTTCTGTGAACTAGCCCTTTAATTCCTGGTGGCTGTACAAATTGCAACTCAGCAATTAGCCACAGTTTTTCTGTTTCCATAAGCCTTTAAATTATCTTCAATGTAATGCCTGTTTTTCAAACGTAAAGTCAAATAATGGCTCCATGCTCTTGCTAATGGAGCAAACCTCATAAAAACATACATTCATGCAAGAGAAAGTAGTTTTATGACTGCAGCCAAGGATGGTTTGTTTCCCTGGCTGGAAGTGAGGCTCTGGTCAAACATTTGCTTTACTGAATTCATCTGTTTGGTGGAGCAAAGTTTACTGAGTTTACCTGTGGACACATCATAAACAGTTGGACTTTAAAATCCTGGCTCGCTCAAGGAAAATAGAGCTTCCTCAGAGTGACTTTCTTCCCTCAGAATAAACCTGCAAGTGGATAAAGTTTCCAGATTGGGGGGTAGAATCATCATAACTGCCCCCTAGCAGACTTCCTCACCTCTTTTACTTACATTGCATTGAAAATCTGAAAACCAAAAGTCCCTTCATATCAATGGTGCAACTAATCCTTCTCTTCGCTTAACTACCCAATTTCCAAATTCAGTGTCTCACTTTTGCCTTTTATATAAAGTATTTGGTGACATCTTACCTACAAGGGTTTGATATAAAAACAAAAATGATGGATTTGTTTATAGATTTGCTGTAATGACTGAGCACGTGAACTGAGGACACAAAAGCACAACTCAGAAACAGTGTCCGGTTTCCAAAAACAGAGGTTGTTTATTTCCAGCCATGGTTTGGTACACAGAAGGCCGAAAGGCAAGGCAGAGGTATCAAAAGACTTGAGGCTAAGGCTAAGTCAAAAAAATACAAAAAAGTGGTCAAAAGCACAAGACGTGGGTATATCGCCGGAACTCTACGGATGAGACGAAGTGGCACAGGACGGAGGAGACGCACATCTTAAATACTAACTGAGGTGACTAGACACAGGTGTAACATATCAGAGAGGGGGAAGGTAATCTGTGAGACACACAAGGTTAGGAGTGAAGTTACCTAAAGAGAACAAAGACAAGGGAGTGTCAAAGTAAAACCGGAAGTGACATATAACATGAAACAGGAACTGCTGTGAGTGTGTGTGTGTGTGTGTGTG